GTTTAGCATACTTTTGACATTTTATTATAAAAATAAGATATCAATTGCAGCAAGTATGGGAACTACTGGAAAGTATAGAAAAGAAAAGGATTATATCTCCAGCTCCCCACTTTTCCCCTACCAGTAAAGCTGCTAAATTTTAGTGTTTATAATCCTTTTATCTTTGCAACTATAAGACAATATAATTTGAGGAACTGTGTTGAGTTGCTTGCAGCTTGTTTATCTATTCAGTAAGTGTTGTATTTGGGCCTGAAGATCTGGTTAAGGTTGCAGCCATCCCTATGGTGTTGCATTTGGGGGACAGGTCTGCAGGGAGTGTGTGCTCTGCAAGGTCTGTGGACACCTGGGATTCCCTCAGTAAGATCAAAGCCTATTTTACTCAGTTTAGAGCACAGGGGGAAAAAAATCACCTTAGGTGAGTGTGAGGGGAATTTCTTATGGCTGATAGATTTGGTAATATCTTCATCATTAACATTACATAGCTATTACAATAAATAACTATACACTGATGTCATCTTTGAGCCCCTCAGCAACCCTTTGGGATGTGAAGAGCTTATTCTCCCTAGTTTACAGAATAGAAAACTGAGGCTGGAGCAAAGGTGAGTTGCTTGAGTTCACCAGAGTTAAAGAACAATAGGAGTTCAGAATCAGAACTTATGCATTCTGGCTCTCCATAAGCAATGCTTTCATCAATGATCACTTTAAGATCTATTTTCTTTCTATTAAGATCAGTTTTTTGGAATACTTAGATTAATAGAATAAAATGATTAGTTTATCATTGATTAAGGTATAAATTTCAAAAGCAACAAAGAGTGACATACAATATTTAGATTTAAGATAAAAACATAGCTATTTGTGTAATTAGCAAAAACACACAAGAGGTTGAATATACAAAAAGACAATGGCTAGATCATGTATTTAAACAGAGCTCTGCAGATACCTTAAAAGCAACTGAGGCCAATAGGAAAAGGGGAACAGGTACTAGAGAAAAGGTTAGATCAAAAAGAATTAACCTAGAAGGTAACACACACACAGGAAATCAATGTGAGTCAATGCCCTGTATAGCTATCCTTATCTCAACCAGCAAAACCCCTTGTTCCTTCCTATTATTGCTTATACTCTCTCTACAACAAAATTAGAAATAAGGGCAAAATAGTTTCTGCTGGGTATTGAGGGGGGGGAGCGGGAGGGGGCGAAGTGGGTGGTAAGGGAGGGGGTGGGGACAGGGGGGAGAAATGAACCAAGCCTTGTATGCACATATGAATAATAAAAGAAAAAAAAAGAATTCTTGAAAAAAAAAAACCAGAGCTCTGACATACACTCTGCAGCAACCCATTCCCACAGTACCCAGCCTACTCTCTGTGAGTCAGACTTCTAGGAAATCAGCCTGCTATGTCTCTCAGAAATCCAGGAAGCACAGCCAGGCTTGGTGGTACATCTGTAATCCCAGCACTTGGTGGGAGAATGGAGAGTTTGAGGTCAGCCAGGGTTACTTAGTGAGATCCAGCCTCAAAAAAAAAAAAAACCCAAAAAATCCAAGAAGCCAAATAATAACCCTTGGAACCACCAAAATGGCCAGGACTTGATTAATAACTGGCAACTTTCCTCAATTTTGTTTTCATTTCCAACTTAGGATCAACCAGAGAGAGCCAAATATAAACCCTAATCAATCACATTAGACTGGCCACAGCATCCCAAGCCAAAAGCATTCCCCAGTCAGGGCACACTTGAAGCCTTCTGCAACCAAGCTCTCCCTCCTCTGCCTTTGTGTCTCCCTGAAAAGGTGAGTGATGGTCACTGACTCCCCTGCCATAGCAAGCTTTGAATAAATAGCCTTTGCTTGTTCTCATTTGGTGGTTTTATTTTCACATACAAAAACAGATTCTTTTAAATAAAACAGAGGAAGAAACACCCCTACCATATTCCATCTCACCAGAGACCTAAAGACCTAAATGGACTGAGTTTTGCTACCTTTAAGCATCTATTAAGAGCAAAACAGCCTTTAGAGTGTTGTAGGAGAGACAAAGGGGAAGAGGCATGGCTCCTGAGTATCCAACTAGACACCACCCAGGTACCTATCACAGGAGCCAGAATGTGGTATCCGTGAGGAAGATTAATTGACATACTGTGGGGTTAACAGAGAGACAGTGAGCACATCCAACTCCAAGGACCAGTAGAAGATGGAGGATGAAGGTGTCAATTATTTAGAACGAAAAATTTAAAAATGCAGTGGTATTTGGTTAGTATACTAATAAAACAAAGTCACTATGAAAAATAAGGTAGATGTTACTGAAAAATTAAAACTAGAACTGTCATATAACCCAGAAATCCCCTTCTGTGTATAGCCAACGGAATTGAAATCCATATGCCAGTGAGATGTCTGCCTTCTTGTGTTCATTGCAGCACTGTTCACAACAGTCAAGATACAGAAACAACCTAAGTGTCCATCAGCTGATGAAGATGTATCTTCATCCATAAGACAGAAGATGAGTATTTTTCATCCATAAGACGGAAGAGAATCCTGTCATTTATGACAGCCTAGAGAATGAACCTGGAAGACATGTTAAGTGAAATAAGCCAGATATAGAAAGATAAATACTATAAATACTGGGTAAGATACAAAGAATAGAAATTCATTTTCTGAAGATTAGGAGGTTTAAGATCAGGACTAGGACCTCTGGTAAGGGTCGTCTTGCTGGGTCCTCTTCTGATGAAAGGTGCAAGGGCAAAAGAGGACAAATGCTGTAGCCTCACATGGCAGAGGAGCAGAAGAACGAGCTAGGGGATGCAGTGTGAAATTCCCTTTAGAATGGCTTTCTCCCATTCATGAAGGAGAGGCCTCATGACCTAATTACTTCTTAAAGGCCTCACTGCATAATACTATCTGCTGTGGCTGGGAACTATCCCTCAAAGACCCGAGTTAAATATCTGAGTTAAAGGCTTGGTCCCTGGCCGGTGGCACTATTGGAAGGTAGTAGAACTTGAAGATGTGGAGAAAGTTAGGCCACTGGGTGCGAGCCCTTAAAGGGGATATTTGGATCCTGGGCCCTTTTCTCTCCCTCTTTCCCTCCTGATCAGTTTCCTCTGCCCACATGCTCCCACCATGATGTACTGTGCTGACACAGGCCCAAAGGAACGGAGCCACTGACCATGGATGGGAAACTTGGGATGTAAGCCAAAATAACCCTTTTCCCATATGAAGTTGCTAGTCTCAGGCATTTTGTTCCAGTGACAGAAAATTCACTGGCACACTATCACATTGGCAGCTCCTGAATTCTGAAGATCTTCAAATTGTAGCATTGTGGAATATAAAAACGTCAAATGTGTAGACACATTGAGTGGAATAGGTGTGTCAGAGCTGTGGTGTGGGAGAAATGGGAAGTTGGTCAAAAGGCATAAACGTTCAGTTATGAAATAACTAAATCTGGAGAGCTAATGAACGGCATGGTGAATATAGTTAAGAATAGTGTGTTGTTCACTTGAAACCCAATAAGACAGTGACTTTTAAGTGCTCTCACCACACACACAAACGTTACTATGGGTGGTGATGGATGTATTAATTAGTGGAAATCAGTAATGTATTATCAAATCATCACATTGTACACCTTGCAAATGAAGCATTTTTACTTCTCAATTAAACTTCATAAATTGCCACAAAATTGGAATTTACATCTTGTCACACTCAGACTCTACAATGAATAGAGGATAGAGCTGAAGCCCTGTCCTTCTTCTCCAAATCCTGCTCCTCTCTTCCTCCTCCAGGGCGCCCTCCTCATGAATCTGGAGGTCTTCTGGCCAAGTCAGTTTTTGAGGAATGGGTGCACCTTCCGACTGGGAGGCAGGCATTCCAGGGAGAGGGTATGGCACAGGCAGAGAGGTGGGGAGGTGGTGTGTTTGGGGGGAAGTGTGAGTGGTTTACTTTGTCTGCAGCCTGTAGCTAGTGCAGGGAAGAGAGGCTGGGTCCCAGAGAGGCCGAGCTGCCAGCCATTGAGAATGTACTTGGGTTTCTGAGCACAGGGGGGTGTGACGATGTTAAGAGGCCAGAGAGTGGAGGCGGACAGGCTGCTTTAGTCCGGGAGTAGGAAGGAGATGCAGGGGGCCCTTGGGTGGGCGGGGTGTGTCAGGTGACCAGAGGGAAGCCAGAGGAGGGGCCCACGTGCGTGAGTGTGCCCGCGTGTGTGACCGGTGTGGTCGTGCGTGAGAGGAGGCGTGCTGGCCTTCAGCGGGTGGGAGTGGAGCTTTCTGTGAGGCCCAGAAGGGGACTCGAACCTGGGTAGGGAAGGGATGCCAAACCTTGACGACGTCAGTGGGCAGTGCATCTGCCAAGAGACTAGAACTGGTTCCTCTACAGTGGAGAACGTGTTTACAAAAAAGAGAAAAGATCGCGGGGACCGCGAACATCGCAGGGTCAGAAAAGCCTGGAAAGGTATGGAGAGGCCCGCAGCATCCCCGGAGGACCCGAGAGGGGACAGGCAGGGTCGGAGGGGTCAGGATCAGCACCAGGCAGAGTAAGACCTGTTGAGAATTGGGACGCGCTGCCAGTGCCCTTGCTTTTGAGGGTCCAATTCCGAGGTGTCACGGGGCAGCAGACTGATGGTATTCAGGGGCACAGCGTCTAGGTTACCTGCTAGGGGACAGCCGGTGGTGTAGAGTCCAGCCAGTCCCCGCCCCCTCCCTCTTCCCGGACGGCGATTGGTGGAGGAGCCATTCTTGTTGCCAGGACAGTAGTCCAAGGCTGCCCTTGGCTCGTCCCCGTGCCTTAGCCCCGCCCCCTCCCTCTTTTCCGGGCGGCGATTGGTCTTGGCGTCCTTCCATTGCTAGGATAGGCTGCCATTGGCTCCTCCCTGTGCCTTTCGTCCCGCCCTTCCCTTCTTTCTTCAGGACTGGGAGGTAGGCGGGGCTAGTCGTGTCTCCATGGCGACCCCGGACGCGCCAGTGAAGGTAGCTGGGTACCTACCTGCTAGAGACGCCGCGGCGGTGATCCACGCTGAGACGAGACCATGTCGGACCTGGGCTCTGAGGAGTTGGAGGAGGAGGGAGAGAACGATCTCGGGGTGAGAGCTCCTTAGGCTTCCGGGGTGCGCGGCGGCGGGTGGGCTCCGGAGGTCGGGCTCAGGAGCGGAGAGAGGACCGAGCCACAGCAGCCGAGGTCCAGCCGAGGGACAGGACCACGCTGCCCACACCGGGCGGCTTTGCGTCCTGAAAGTCGATCTGAAAGGTGAAACGCTGTGACGTCTGGTTTCCACCTTCCTTCCCTCACTCCTATCCCGCCTCCCATTAAAGGCAAAGATTTACAGGCAACGGGCTTTGGCTTTTCTTCCTCCCTGTGTTAACCTCCATAAAGGCAATTTCCTCGATGACTGCTCACCCCAAGTGGCCATACTGTCCTTAAATAAGTCATTTCTGAAACTGAGCTTTGCTGTCCCAGAGTAAGATGATGGCGGAAATGGGCTTCTTCCAGCTTCCACGAAGTGCTGAGGAGGCCCCGGCCTCAGAACAGGGCTCCTGAAGATAACACCATGTGGGCCTGTGCTCCCAAGGTCCTTCTTCTGTCCCTTCTGTATGCACCCAGGTCTTTGGCAATATTCCCTAGTTTAGGCAGCAGAGAGGAGGTAAGGGGTGTACACCCAGCGATGTTCCTAGGCAGGATGTCTATGTGCCCTCCCTAAACTAGACCTCTCTGGCTGACAGGCTGGGAACCCGGCTGCTGTGTGTGTGCAAGAATCAACCGAAAATTCTGTTACCTCTTCTATAATGCCTTTGGTGCCGGCTCAGACCCTTTTGCTAGCTCTGGGCACCCATCTTCCAGCTTCTGCCTGATTTGCTGCTCAAGGCCAGCACTTCTATGCATTGCATTGTAATTGTCTAGCCAGTATGAAGAGCTAGAAGTGACTGCGAGTCACAGCCCCTCTCTGGACGGCCAGCTGCTAAAAACCAAGACAAACATGGAATGTGATCTAGGTTCCAGAGTCCCCTGTGCAATTAGTAATTAGTTCAAGGCTGGTACCTCACCTGGAATTGCAAACTTCTTCCTTCCTCAGCCACCTCTTCTCTCCTGTCGAGACCTCTCCCCTTACTGTTCTAGAAGAGCACTTCTGTTTTAAAAAGTCACTTACTCAGGACTTTGGGTGAATCCAACCTGCAATCCTGTCCCAGCAAACTTTCTAGTTTGTCTCCTCATTGATGTGTAATGTTTCAGTGCCCAAAAATCCGACCCTGAGATCACATTTGGATCACTTAAAATTATTTCTCACTGGGGGTGACTCAAGTGGTAGAGTGGCTAGCACAAAGCCCTGAGTTCAGTTTCTAATACTGCCAGTAAAGAAAGAAAAGAAAGGAAAACAAAGGATTTCTCTCTTATTTGGCCACCCTAGTGGAAGGGGGTCTATTAGTACACTTTTATTAGGACTAACCCTGAAACAAATCTGTAAAGTCAGAATTTTTTACCTTATATTCTAGATAAGAATTTCTGTATGAAAGCATGTTAGAAAAGCGCAGAATTGTAGTTTTTTTTTTACAATGTAATGTGTCTGTACTTGTAATAAATCTAGACAGATGCAAGTCCATTTTTTTTAATCTTTATTTAAAAAATGTAAGCATGTGACTTGAGGCGTAACACACGATGTTATAAGCTACCCATGTTAAGTCATTGCTGTATGTTTTGGCCCTTTTATTATTTATTCTCTGCCTCTATATTCATGTATTAGGTGCTAAGGAATGTTTATTTTATGAAGAATAGGAAAAATAGAGAAGTTGCAAGCTGTGTTACAGTTTTTATTTACTTTTTTACCCTGCTATGTAACCCAGGCTTGGCTTCGTACCCCTGGGCTCAAGTGATCTTCCAGCCTCATCCCCCTCCACTCACCCAAGTAGCAAGGATTACAGGCACATGGCATATCATTATTTATTCATTATTTTTTCTTTTTGGGGCTAGGGATTGAACCCAGGGCCTTGTGCACACTAGGCAAATGCTCTACCACCAAGCTACACCCACAGCCCAATTTACTTTAAGTAAGTGGGTAGTTATTTCAGATGGACTATGAGTGTTTGAATCCTAAGTCTCTCGAGAGGAAGTTTGAAAAGTGAGATAAACTAAGCTGAGTCAGTGGAGCCCCTAAGAGCTCCCAGCCTCTCTTACCCATCAGAACTCCCTCACAGAGCAAAGGTCTCTTCTGTCCACCCACTCCCAGAGATCATTTGAAGGAAGACTCCCTGTTCTCAGGGTATTATCTTTTAAGTCCCAGATTATTGGAGAAAGTGACCGGGGAGGTACCTGGGTGGGCTGGGAGCCTGTTCTGCATATGTACTTCAAGCATATTCCCATGAAGAAGACGGTGGTTCTAGCATTTTTCACACATTGACTGATTTTGTTTACATTGTGAAGGACAAACATAATAAATTGCAATCTCAGATGCTGAGGGAGTGCGGCTCCCTCCCACCGTGGACACAGGCCTTGGCTACCTGCCTCACCTGTGCAGTGGGACAACTGAAGATAGTGCGGAGAACTGGGAGGGTTCAGTGGCACAATATTTATGAAATGCTTAGCCTGTGGTCAGCGCTGAATGATTTTCTTAATTCCTTTACTCAGGAGTATGATGGGGATCGGAACGAAGCAGGTGAACGGCATGGACATGGGAAAGCCAGGCTGCCCAATGGGGACACATATGAGGGGAGCTATGAATTTGGTAAAAGACATGGCCAGGTCAGAATTGGTGACATGGGAGGGTGGGTTTCTCCATTTAATATTCTGTTTGTGAATATGAAATGCAGGAGTGATATGAATGCTCTGATGGATTTATTTCAGGGGGTCTACATATTTAAAAACGGTGCCCGGTACATTGGAGAGTACGTTAAGAATAAAAAGCATGGTCAAGGCACTTTCATATATCCAGATGGATCCAGATACGAAGGTAAAATGCTATTACAAGGAGATTTTGTGTTGCAGAGGTTTTTATTTTGTTGTTGATAGTGAAATGTACAAGAGAGGTTAAAATTTTCCCGATTACTCACTCATCCAAAAAACACAACCTGTGTTCCTATATTCACACCATTGACACAGAAGCCAGAGAGCCTTGTAACTAACAACTAACTAACCAACTAACTAACTAACTAGCTAATTAATTAACCTGTACTGGAAATACGACTGTCTCTGTCAGCACATGCCCTCCTGTGAGGTTGGGGACTGGGAATAATGAAAGGGAGCTGCTTGTTGAACACTGACCTTGTTGTTGCTTGGACCCGTGGCTCCAGCCCCATAGCTTCTTCTTCCTGAAGTTGTCTTCGTGCTTTCTATTTGGACCCACAGCCTTCTAATGGACACATTGCTTCTTTACCTCCCAGTGGGGGTCTGTCTGGAAGGCACTCTGCCTTGCAAAGCTGGCTTTTCCAGGCTGAAGTCAGGTTACAGGAAGATTCTTGGCACCTTATTCCCAAGAACCTTAGCGCTGCTCCCATGCACCACTGTCCCTTGGTGTGGTCACAGCAGTCTCATCCCAGACCCAGGAGGAGAAAGGTATGGAGTGGGCTGTGAACCTTCAGAAACTCCAGGCAAATATCTATGCTCTGGGCTTTTATCTTCCTCCTCCCAACTCTAGGAAAAACTTGTCTTGTTTCCATGTGATTTCCAAAATCTGATGTGACCCCAACCTTGGACTGTGGGGATAATAGGTATGACTTTGCACGTCACTTCTTCTCGCCTCGGCTGTCATCTGCAGTTTGTGGATGGAGTGGATTAGCGAAGGTGAAATGCTTAGAACTGTGCAACGCATGGTAAGAGCTTAGTGTCAGCGAGGACCACGATACACCCTTGTGTGCTAGCATTGCTTCTTAACAAGGGTAACATATTCCATTACTGTGACTTAATACCCGAGGTAATCATCTTAAAAGGAGGAAAAGTTTATTTATTTTGGCTCCCGGTTTCAGAGGTTTTAGTCCATGGATGTTTGGCCACATTGCTTTGGACCTGTGGAGAGTCAGAGCATCATGGTGGAGGCAGATGGTTTCAAGCTCTCACCTCATGGTGACCAAGAAGAGAGAAGAAGGGATCACAGAGTCTCAATATCCCCTAAGTGGGCATGCCCCCTGTGACTTCACTTCCTTTTACTAGGCCCCACCTCTTAAAGGTCTAACTACCTCCCAGTGGTGTCAGGTGCCGGAGAACAAACCTTTGATGGATGACCTTTGTGGGGACACTTTTCCAAACCATAGCAGTTACCCGCCTTGTTCCTGTATAAAACAAAAATCAGGAGTAACAGATGGAAAGTGCTCATGCCCCATGCCCTCCTCCATGAGAGATGGAATTCATGTTGTTTTGTTTGTGCCTCTGCTTTTTTTTTTATTTTTGTTTTTTTAATGGTACTGGGATTTGAATTCAGGGCCTGAGCTTGTGCTCTACCACTTGAGCCATGCCCCCAGCCCTTTTTTTAAAGATAGGGCTCCTGCTTTTGCCCAGGTTGGCCTTGACTGTAATTCTACTATTTCTGCCTTCTGAGTAGTTGGGACCACAGGTGGACACCACTATACCCAGGTTGTTTTTGAGATAGGGTATTGTTAAATTTTTGTCCAACCTGGCCTCAAGTAGAGATCTTCCTGCCTCTGCCTCCCCAGTGCTGGGATTGCAGGTAGCTACCCAGCATGCCTAGCTACCATCAGCTTTTTAAGTGAGCTTTAGGCAGTTTCATTTAGGCTTTAATTTAAGTCTTTCCAAATCCTTGTAAGTCTAATCTTGTCACTTTTTACTTTAGTGTAGATGTTAATATAATTTGAATAGCATATATAATACATAAAAATGATACTCAGAATATGGATTTTTAGGAATTCTTAATATGGAGATTATTAACTAACTAGAGGGAAAACTGTCTCTCTCCTTATAAGACCTCTGACACCAAGTATGGATTTTACATACCAAGTAGATCTTCAGCTCTCTGTGGACAACTGGGTTTCACAGGATTCAATTCAGTCCTGGTACCAACTACCCAGATTTCATGTCAGATACCCAGGTGAAGGGCTCAGTCCCACAAGACTGCCTCCCAACTCAGATGTCAATGTCAGGTCCTGTGTCACCAGGTCACCCACACTCCTGTCAAGTTTAGCTGCTAATCAGGGGTTCACACAATCCTGCTTCATATTTAATTATTCCTTAAGTGCTTCAGGGAAGCACTTTACTTACTGTTCCTGGTTTACTACAAAGGATACAGACGAATAGGTATATAGGGAAAGGTCTAAAAGGGTCCAGAACATGGAAACCTCTGTTCCCATGTCGTTGGGGTGCACTGCCTTCCCAGCACAGAGATGGGTTCACTGCCCCAGAGGCTCATCAAGGGATTGTATAGAGCTTCATCTACAGCCACCCTCCCCACCTTGTCTGGTGAGTGGGGCTGACAGTTCTAACCTTATGACCACTTGGTCTTTTTGGTGATTTGCCTCATCTTGAGGCTACCTAGGGGCCCCACCCTAAGTCATCACTTACATAAACTCAGGTGTGATAAAAAGTGGTTCATTATAATCAATAAAAGACATTGCTTTCAGAAAGAGTATAGGAGCTCTGTACTAGGAACCTTGAGCGAAGGCCAAGTATTTTGGATTGTTCTTGTGTCACACTAACACATAGCACTCATTTGGAGACAGTGGAAGGCTTTGGTTCCTCCAGATGGATTTATAACCCAAAGACTACAAAGTACTCAATGCTCAGATTTCCTCTCCGACCAAAGTTCAAGTAAGTGTCATATTTCACTAAGGCAGTGATGGAAACTGAGGTCAGAAGCTACTATATTAATGTTAGCTCAGTGAGTCAGTCATCTTCCAGTCACAAAGCCTAATTTCGGGGTGGAATTATCCATCATAGCGAGTTTTGGTTCTTAGCCAGCATAATGTTTGGAATGGTTTCCTGCAGGGTTAGCTTGTTCAGCCTCAGGATCCTGAAGAACAAGTCACAGTAATGGCCTCCTGAATGGTCCAATCAGGAAGCCCAGGAAGGAGCAGAGGGCTCCAGGGCAGCAGCAGACAATCCCACAGGCATTTTGGGCTGGCGGGGGACTTGAACAGTGGCAGGAAGAAGGTGTTCTTCATTGGTAAGAGATGAGGTTGGAGAGGCAGTTGGTGCCAGATGTTGGTGAGGCCTGTGGACCACCTCTATAGATTTTGGAGTTTGTGGATGGAGGCCAGGTGAGTGCTGTGAGTTGGAAAAGGAGAAAGAACATCTCTGTTTGGTGCTGGTCTTTTTGCCTGCCTCACAGAACTAATGCAAATGAAGATGTTTAACATCGAAGTTCTGAGACACGGAAGTGACGTGATGACTTGAAGTTGACCTGTCTGGAACTTCCCACAGTGCAGGAACTGGGAGAGGAATGAATGCTGGACTGCTGGGCTGCGTATAGAGAAGGCGTGGGAATTGGACACTGGACTTTCATTCTGGCCCAGCTGTGCTGCTTACCAGTTGTGTGGCACTGTTCACTGCCTCTGCATCTGTTGGATACGTGCCAGTCACAGTACCTTCTGATGACTTTGCAAGTGCAGAGGGCCTACCCCACTGTCTGGCAAGCTGTTTTCCCATCGGTGCTAGTTCCTTCTCTTCTGTCTGGTCCTGTATGACAGGGAGCCAGCTTTGATAAGACAAGTGAGCAGCACGGTGAACCAATGACCAGCCAGCATCCTAGAGGGAGGAGGGCATCTAATCCCCCGAGGGCCAGCCTGGGAGCCAAGCGGATAATGGCAAGGTTGGCACCTGCTCTCCCAAAGGAAGGCTCAACCCTAACCAGTCAACCCACCAAAGGCGTTACTCCTGAGGATAAATGTACTCAAGTGGTAGAGTGCTTACTTAGCATGTGCGAGGACAAAGTTCAATCAAACTGCAAAAAACAAAACAAGACAAAACAAAACAAAACCAAGAGTCCATTGAAATGATCAAGAATCAGGAGAAAGGACAGAATTGGGCCAGAAAGACTTTTAGAAAGTTAAGTACAAGTTTCCAGTAATAGTAAGACATTTCTAAATGTCGTTGACTTCAGAAAAGGAAACTTGACTCATGGCTATTGAAGAGCTACACCAGCAGGAGATCTTTCAAGAGTCCAGCAAGATTTTCTGTGTTGGTGGAGTCTCTAAAAAGTTTTTAAATGTGCGTACCAGTCCTCACTGGCATGAAATTTAGTGTTGGTTACAATTTAATTGGCCCCTTTCATTTTTGAAAAGTTTCTGCAAAATATGTAAGGTATTTTTCTTGCCACGCTATCCTGGAGATTAGCTGCCATGGTCAAGACAAGAGGGATGTCATGGTCCTTTTTGGGAAGAAACCAAGTGATGTAAGTGTTCCAGTTGAGATCTCTCTGTCCCACGGGTGGGCTGGAGTCAGCTCAGAATGGCTCACAAAAGCTGGTTTTGCATCTCTTTCCCAAGTCCATATGCAGCCTGGACTTGGCCATGGTGGAAATATTTCCACCATGGAAACTGGCAAATGTGCATTACTACCACTTAAGTCTGAAAAGTCCTTCAAGATTTCTGCACAATCTGCGCCTCTTCCTGGTTACTGCAGGTCAGGGAACAAATGTCTTTTCTAGTGAATTCTCTGTTTTTCTACTCTCCCTCTCATGTTGTCCCCATCACACATCCCATCAAGGAACTGGTCCTCTTTCTTAATTGCTAACAGTTGCCATCCCCCTTCTCTTGATGACTTTTAGTAGCCTGCTCCTCTCTGAGCTATTGTCTACTTCTGAAATTTTGCCGGCCACCCTTGTGTTGGCCTCTGTCCCCAACTGGGGTGTGTGCACTACTCTCTGCACAGATGCTGTTCTAGCTAAGGACATTGTGGTCACTGAAGCAATATTGGAGTGATTGAAAAAACAGGTATGGATTCCTTTTGTAGATAAACTGTAGGTTTATTCAAGGAAATGCTTATTGCTCAGGGTAACTCTTATTGTGTGTTCTCTATCTTCATGTGGGAATGGGTCCAAGTTTTGGGGTACTCTTTAAGAAAAAAAGATATAAAGCTGGTATAAAAGAGACTTTTCATTACTAATGGGAAATCAAAATAAATTCAAAATTTAAGAACACCACAAACAACACTGAATCTCAGGAGGTAGCCTGTGGATTCTTTTTAAAAATTAATGTCTGACATACTTCTAAACTAGCTTTCTGCTACCATTGGTAACTAATACTCTCTGAATGCCTCTCTATAAGAACACTTCTGATATTTTCTATACAGAACAGAAGGCTAATTCCTTCTTTTCTCTTTGATCGACAAATTAATCAGATTTAGCTTTAATTATTCATAGTCTAGGCTGACTTACTGCTAATATGTAAAGTTGGCATTGGGAAGCTTCTGTTAGGTTTCTCCATGTGTGAGCTGTGAGAGTTAAGGGTGTTTTGAGTTTTCTAGACAGAGGCTGATATTAAAGGCCTCTAGTTGACACCACTGCTTTGCTGCTGTCCTCATTGTAGAGGTGCATTAGGAGTTTGATAACAAATTCACCAGCTTTATTATTCCCATCGAGTCTGTAGGAAATGAGCAGTATTTCACGTGGAGGTGAGTAGACAAGGCCACCCAGGTCAGGGAGGGGAAAAGGGAGAGGCCTGCTGGTGCAGGTGCAGAGCTAACATGCAGGTGGGCTGCCATGGATGATGACCCACAGGGGAGCACTGGAGCTGGGTGGCTAGGTGGAAGATAGAGGGCAAGCACCAAGGCTGGACCAGAAAGCCTTGGCATTGCTGCTGGATCACCAAACACTTGCAAGGCCAATGGAGTGTGGTTTCTAGGCTCACTGGCAACAATTTGGTTTGCATCCTCACTGTTTCCGGGTTAACCTGTGACTTTGTCAGTATATGCGGCTGACTGGGGCTTAGGTGCATACACCTCTCAAACCTGTACCCAGCAAACTCCTGACAGAGCCCTCCTTAGCCTGCTCTCCAGAATGGGTCAGCCACTCTACTCTGTGCTAGCTGGAGCAACAAGCAGGGGGATGGAGGGAAGTCAGAGAAGAGAGACAGCAGCCTGCAGTCAAAGGTCTCTCTCCTGCAGAGCGTCATGAGCACATTGCTAGGATCCATCCAAGGGTGTGGGAGGGAATCATGGCATCCATCAGTCACCTGGCTTGCTTTTGTGTTATCCCTTCCAGGAGAGTGGGCGTATGACCAGCGGCACGGCCATGGCACGTACTATTACATCAATAATGACACCTACACTGGGGATTGGCTCGCTCATCAAAGGTACGGCTCTGCCTTCAGCCTTGCAGGGTTATCTGTGGAGTAAGACTAGGACCATGTCTTCAGATGCTATTAGGAAGCAACCATGACAAAAGCCCATGTACCAGCTCTGCAGGCAGAGCCAACCTTCCATGGGTGTAAGGCAGTGTGCTGCAGACCGGCGGGCATGACATACAGTTCCTTCTCCCATGAGTCCCAGGAAGCATGGGCTCAGAGAATTCATCTGAGGGATGAAGCCACAGCTCCCAGCAGCTCTTCCTCTGCCTGGGGAAACCCGCTAATGTGCCTGTAGCTGGCCTCTGGTCAGCAGGGGACACTGGCCCTTGTGCCTCTGTTAACGTCCCATGCATGAGGGGCACACATCCTTTTCGTGCACACAGACACAGAATCTCGGTGGCTTGTGAAGTCACTCCACCCTGGTCACCCTCCATCCCCATGTCTGTGCTGTAAACACAACATGTCTCTTGTCTTAACCAGGCATGGCCAAGGCACCTATTTTTATGCGGAGACAGGCAGTAAATATGTCGGTACCTGGGTGAATGGACAGCAGGAGGGTGCGGCTGAACTTGTCCACCTGAACCACAGGTACCAGGGCAAGTTCATGAACAGAAACGTAAGTTGGTGGGAGGGGCCCTGAGCAATGAGACCTGCTCTCCTAGCCCAGGCAAATGTGTTGTGGGAATAGGAAACGTCAGAGGAGCCTCCCCTTCCCTCCAAACGTGGACAGCGGGCCTTGCCGAGAACCACCCTCATACCCACAGAGGGCAGAACAGTGCGGGGGTGGAGGTGGGAGGCTGGCTTCTTCCCTGTGCCTTATAGAACTTCCCATCATCCTCAGCAGTGCCCTGCTGGGTTGTTATAAACAGGGCCATCTTAGCTTCCAGTGTGCACCTGCTCACTGGTAAGTCAGGTATCCAGTCTTTATTCTCTGCAACTCAGAGTGTAGGTGTTTGGCTTTGTTTCCCCTGGGAGGGAGCAGTGCTGGCACCCTGGGGGATGACCCCTGGGGTCCCTCCTCCTGCTGCAGACCAGCCCACCCATCACCTCTGCTCATGGAGGGATTGAGGGCTCACAGTGGCTGCCCTGGGTTTGGAGGCTTTCCTTTGCTCAGTGCCCACCATTGGCCATTTCTGTTTGGAGGATTCTAGCTTTACTGACCCTTCTTAGACAGAGCACTTTGGGATGCAGAGAAACCCAGAATAATGCAGAACCTACCACGTGGACATTCGTGGCAGCCTTGATGAGGGCTCAAGTGGGAAGTTTCCCTGAGGAAAGAGCTTGCTGAGCAAATTAATGGTGTTAGAAGTTGATGTAGGGAACATTTAACCACTTTAATGAATGAGTCTCCAGACTCTCTGAAAACCCAGTTTTCATTTACACATAATTCATGCCCTAAGTATTAATCTGCAAGAATCCATAAGCCATACTAGACTAGTCAAAAATAAGAGGCTTTGTTCTGCTAATTAGGAAACAACTTAAAGTTATATAAATAATACAAGAGACCATCCCAATGGGAATATCAAAGCGCGGGGGTCACCCCTTCCTCCCACCCTCTGTCTTCCTGCTTCTGTGCGCTGTGCACATGTGCAGTGACACAGAGCTCATGCAGAGTTGTAGTTCTGAGATCTGAGTTACACAAATAGAATCACACGATACATGAGCACACAAAGGTACATCTGTTATCACTTTGCACATTTGAGGGCATTGACTAAAATGTACAGGAGGTCTCTGGCTTCTGCACGAGGCCTGGCAAGACAGATCAAACGTCACTCATGCAGTTTTGTATCACTAAGCAAAGTTAAGGTGTTTATCTGACCAGAGAAATCAGGAGAGAGATGACAGCCAAATCCCCAAATGGGCCAGTTCTAACCAGCGTGGCACCCTTGCTTTAACTTTTATAGGGAAAGTAACTTTATTATTTATTTAATTAATCAATTTATTATTTATTTATTTGGTGTTACTATGGTTTGATCTCAGGGCTTTGTTGTTGCTAGGCAGGTACTCTACCACTTGAACCACGCCTCCAGCCCTGGGAAAGGAACTTTAAAACCACCAGTCCAAGACTGGGTATGGTGGTTCAAGCCTGTAATCCTATCTACTTGGCAGGCAGAGATCGAGGGGATCAAGGTTTGAGGCCAGCCCCAGCAAAATGTCTGTAAGACTCCATCTCAGCCAATACAAAGCTGGGTGTTGTGGCAGGTGCCTGTCATCCCAACTGTGTGAGAGCACAGATAGGTGTATTGCAGTCCATGCAGGCTTGGGCGCAGATTCCAGACCCTATTTGAAAAATAACTAAGGCTAAAATGGTTAGGGGTATGGCCCAAATGGCAGAACACCTGCCTGGCAAGCTTGAGGTTCTGAGTTCAGACCCCAGTACTGCAAAAACCAAACCAAAACAACAAAACAAAAATGTCCCCAAACCCAACAACAACCCCCTGCCAATCCACTTTCTACTCTGTTTCTGTTTCATTAGCCCTTCTTTCTATATATAAAACCAGCCTCTCCTGCTCAGCTCATCTGAAATCACATTCTATTTTATAGACAGGTGTTACCTGGTGCTAGAATTGTAAAGAAAAGGCAATAAGATCTTTAAACTAACTTTGTTGTCATTTTGTCTTCTGCTGAGAGTGCTTCTGTGGGTTAGGGAATGGACCTGCTGAATACAGCGTATCGATGTTTTAAATCACAGCTCCTATAGCCGGTCGTCCCACAGAACTGCATCCATTTATATTCTCACCAGCAGAATGTGAGTGCATCGTGTTTGCACCAACAGTGGATCCTGTCAGCCATTACTTCTTTTTCAAATAAGATGGGCGGAACAGTATCCACTGTTTGAATGTGGAGCTCTCTGGTTATGCGTGAGGCCCAGCACGCTCCACAGCTTGAACGCTGGTTTGTGTTTTCTTCTTAGAAGATTCCCTGCTCCTGTGTGTGCTGACCGGTTATTAAAACAGAGTGGAGCAGGACAGAGACACAGAGATGAGGAAGCAAAATAGAACGTCTGAAGACAGGTCCCAGTGCATGAAAGAACCAGGCACTTGACACAGATGTCGTTTCCATTAATACAAAAGTGATAAGGCAGAGTCAGGGATTAATGGTCTCGGGCAACGAGTCAGCTGTCTGGGGGAAGAAAAAGGCCTCTTTGTCCCTCTGCATATGGATAAAGCTACTGTAGGGAAAAAAATTAATGTAAGCAAGAAAATCTCATATGGAAAAATAGGTGAATGTTTGTTAACTTTGAAATGAGGAGACAGGACCTTTTGAACACACCCACAAAGATTTAGCTCCATAAAAAGAACACCTTACAGATTAGAGAACAGTACAAAGAAAACTTAAGAGATAAATGGGAGTTAGGATATTTGTGACATTTAGTGATATAAATGATCCCCATAAAAATAAAATTACTACATGTTAATTACAATTTTTATAAGTGTTTAAGGAGCTAGAAGTAACCCATCAATTTGTACAATTAAAATTGTAGTTTAAAAAAGTATTTAAAAATCTTAAAAAAATTCAGCCTCACTAATAACCTAACAGACATGACTTAAAGTGGTGAAATTCCCATTTCAGATATAGAAACCATGTAAAGAGAATGAAATGGTAATGCTCAGGAAAAACGAGGGTTTGGTAACATGAGGACTCAGAAATGTGAGAATGAAAATTATTAAAGCCTCAGGCTGGTCAGGAAATATCTATATTTTTGTCCTGGGATTCTACTTCTGGAACTTCACCTGGAGGAAAATATCCAGGGTATGCACAAAGATTTAACTATAACCATAGCACGTTTACTGTAGCTTTCATTGTGAAAGAAAAGTGCCGACCGACATAAGGAAGATTAACAACAGTGAGAAGGTAACATAGATTATTACCTACAGCTGAAACAGAATGCCAAGCTGCCAGCAGGCATTGCAGAGGAACATTTGCAAATACTTACCTATTTCCAAGTAAAACTGGAGTCAGTGTGTGGGATTACCTGCAGAGGTTTTGTTTTAAAAACCTCTATGTGCTAGACACAGGTTACAACGGATAGGTCAAAATGCTGATGGCTTCCGTCTCCAGCTAGCTTTCCTATGGGTGCTGGACTTCTAAAGTTTTTATAATGAATACATCCCTTTTATGAAGTAGTAAAATGTAGTTAAGTCCTTAAAAAATAACACAGGGCACACAGTCCTATCACTTCCTAAAAGCATTCTTTAATCCCTGTCAGACTTTTCGCAGTGACGTGATGTGGGGGGACATTTATGAGGCGTTTGTGTTTTCTACTGGCTTTTGGCCCTTACCAGTGACACGCTCTGCGTTTCTCTTTGCTTATAGCCGGTTGGCCCTGGAAAGTATGTATTTGACATTGGATGTGAACAGCATGGCGAATACCGTCTAACAGACGTGGTGAGTTGAAGAGTGTAGACACTGCTTTCTGTATTCATAGGCAAGACTGTGACTCGGTCACGTGGATCCCCAGGGTGAAGGTGACTGGCCAGCTCCTGGGAGCATCTTTGCTTTCATGCTCTGTCCATTATGTATAACTGTGTGGAATTCAATGCCGGAAGAATCAGCATCAATCATAATTATTGCAGAAGTCCAGACCTGGATTTTGTTACCCGGAACCAGCTAATACCAGGTGGGAGAGCTCTGGACAGCGTTAGGTCCCAGGAATGACAGCTGAGCTCTAATCAGTGTCGCCACAATTTATCAGATGGCGATGTGTGTGTCAGGACGTGACTTGCCCTTTTTAAAGCCCAGCTGGTAAATAATTTCCTTCCCAGTGTTTAGCATTGATATTCTTACCAAATTGATATTTTGGGGTTAATACTAAAATTAGCCAGCTAATGTTGTCATTATTAGGCATCCAGATAAAGCTGTGTGTGTTGGGGGAGGGTTTTCTTGTCATTATTAACATCTGTCCTGTGCCTGGGGATAATTGGCAATTTGGTGACATTTCCTGATCTTGGTACTATTTACCTCATGTCACTCTCACTGTAGAAAGTTCTGAATTTCAAAGAGGAGCCTGGCCCCAAAAAAAAAAAAAAAAGTGTCAAAGTATGTTTTTATCTTCCTTTGGGTCTTTGCATTTCTTTGGGTATCCTTTCCTCATCCTTTGTGGCTTCCTTTCTCACCCAGCTCTTGCTGTCCATGAGTTGTTCTGCTCAGTGGACAGTTTTGCAAAAGAGGCTCAAATGCAATTCAGAACCTCTGTTTTCTTCCTTGGCTTTTAATATTCTTATTTGCACTTAGGAAAGAGGAGAAGAGGAGGAGCAGGAGGAGACATTAGTAACTATCATTCCAAAATGGAAAGCTATGAAAATTACAGAATTGGCCCTGTGGACACCAACCCTCCCTGAGGAGCCACCCCAGACCGAGGCACCTGTCTTGGAAGAGGTGCCAGTAACCGAGGGTATGGACCCCTGTAGGTGGGCTCTCTGGGAAGTGACCTCTGGGCCAGTGAGGCACTCAGGATGTTAGGAGAGTGAGCATTTGGAATCAGATTCTTCTGGAGAATGTAGAGGAGGAACAAGACGTAGTACTGACTGGATGTAGGGAGCCTCGAGCTATGATGCCGGCGCTCAGGAACCTTGGGGTATCCCCAGGGAGCCAGATCTCATCTGCTCAGTGCCTGGGTATGGCATGACTTGTGCTGGGCTGACAGCAGCTGGGGTGATAAGTCCTTTCTAGAAGAAGGTTCTGGCTGCACTTCTCCATCACAGTGGTCCTCCTGAGAAGTTAACTTGCCACAGAGAGTTAAAGGACGTCACTGAGTGATAGTCCTTCCATTGAAAATGGTTGAAAGCCAACTCGGTGACCTAAGTGAGGGAATATTAACACGACTGTGATGTGCTGTTTTCCACAAGTGGCATGGCAGCATCACCCTCTGCTCCTTGCTCAACTCTGCTGGCTCTCCTGGCCAGCACCCTCCCTTTGGGCACGAATGGTCTTGAGCTGCATTCAGCTCAAGAACCCTAGGGACAGAGGGCTTCTCTCTCTCAACATGCCCACGAAAAGCCTTAGGATTGTGAGTTTCCAGGCCCACAAAGCCCATCCCTGAACCATTCATCGCAGCAGGCTGGGGAATTCTCTCACCCAGGTCTGGGCTGGGGCTAGGTGGGCTGAGAGCTGGTGGCGGGGGGGTGTCCCCTGAAGGAAAAGCGAGGTGCTGCTCTCAGAAGCAGGAGGGGATGTAGCACAGGCCAGGAACGGCTGCCCTCCCTCAGGTCTGTGCTTGCCTCTGCCCATCGTCCCCACTGTGCCTGTCTGCTTTCTCCCAGATACCAGTGAGCTCATGGAGGAAGCCCAGTTTCCACAGGAAGGTTCTGAGGGCGAGATGGACATGAAGCCTGGGGATGAAGACCCAGACACCCTCAGGCAGGAGAGCCGGGAGTACAATTATGACATGGACCAGGGTGAGGACATGCGTCCTGGAGAGAGAGCTTGACGCCTGACCGCACCCCTGGAAGTAGTGGGTCAGGCCCGGGGACTAGGGAACTGTTGGGAAGGCCTGCCGTCCATTGTCAGAATGTATTCCCACTTGTCCTGCAGGCCTGACTGTGCAGGGACCACACTGGTGTGATGCGGTTCTCACTGTGGCTCTCATAGGAAGCTTTGGGCCACTGTGGCCCTTAAAAAATGCTCTGGCTCTTTATTTTACCTGTGATTTTTATCATGGAAGTCACAGGAGGATGGCCAAGGGCTGACAGTGCTTGGAACTAGTTCTTTCCTAGTGACTGGGTTCTACAGTTAATCAGGCAACTAACAGCTCTGCAGGCCATAAGGCAGGGATTTAACCTCCAGCCTGACTGAGGCCGATCTTTAAAAGTCTTTCCCCATGTGCTGGTGAGCACTGCCTGAGAGCTCAGGGAGAGGGAAAGCAGGAGTGCTGACGTAGGGGCTGTGGGGAGATCACGGGCACGAGAGGCCACCTGCTCCCCTGGCTCCAGACAGCACGGGATCCAGGGCCCCCTTCAGCTTAGTCTTTATTGTAAATGAAATCAGGCAAAATAGTTTTCTATTTAGATGCCATAGGTACACACGGAGTTAGACTTTTCTAGCAATCATCATCACCCAAGTAGTGCAATAATGCAGGAAGAAGCATGACTTGCCTGAGTGGTGTTCTGGTGGGTGAGGAGTCAGGGAGAAATCCAGCTTGATCCTCTCTGCACCTCTCATTTGTGGAAGGCGGGTAACAATGACCCATCCCCGGGAGATGGCCACAACTGTTCCATGGGAGATTCAGAACAGTGCACAGCCACACTCCCTTCCTATGGGGCCCTGGTAACTGTTGAGCAGGCTGGGTGTGGGGTGAAGAGGTGGCCTGTCATCCTCCAGAGGCTGCCTGGGAATCCATGATCTCCCTGTAGAGTGACATCACTCACATTGTCCCCTGAGGAGGTGATGACTTTCCAAGAGAGCAGGGAGGGCAGTGGAGAGGCTGAAAGGGAAATGGGTAAAACCAGGAAGGAAATTCCAGGCGGAGAGCAGAGCCTGCTGTCAGGGGTGCCGGGTGGGAGGCCACCCATGACCCATAGGCTCTGTCTGGACTTGACCCTCAGCTCTGAGGGCAAGGGCTGAGGGACCTTCAGGGAGTGCCTGCCTCAGCCTTGCCACTCAAGCACTCTAGGGGACCAGTTGAGGATGGATGCCCTAGAAACCATGGTGGGAAGAAGAAAGAGGGGATAGAAATTAGGATGAAGAATCCTTAGAACTGGCTGTGGGAGGCTGAGTCAAGTGTCCCAGCTGGCATCTGACACTTCAGGTTTCAGAGATATCTGGGGACATCAGGGGCTTCTAGGGGACATATGTAATGTCTGCAGATTTGGGGGTGGAAGCTGGGAGGCTGGGGTCACTGCTGAACAGCCTGCTATGCACAGGGCGGAGTCCACACAGGGCTCCAGTGTCAGTGTCAGAAATGAACCACAAATGGGCTTAGTAGCAAGAATAACTAATAATCTAATAGATAATAATAATATATAGTAAAAATATTATCAACATAACAGAACTTCAAGATGTAGTTATCATGATTCCCATATTGCATCTGAAATTCATTCACTGATTTCTTCTTTAGCATATCCAACAAGCGAGAGTAGCTTACTCAGCAATAAAAATATTTCCATATTTCATGAAACGTAATATGAAGGCCAAATGATGACATGTTTTATCCATAAAATTGGTTGTTTTTGACAGTATATGCAGGCATGAGGTAATTATTACAGTTACATGAATTCTTGTCTTCACATTTACTTTTGAGTTTACCTTTTGCTTATTTTATTACTGATCCCAAAAGAAAACCTATAAAAGTCTGTGTAGATTTAAAATTCCATTTTGCCTGAGAAATCCTTAACAGTTATAATATTTTTGTTGCAAAAGACCTATTAGTAGGGCTGGTGTTGTGGCTTAAGTAGTAGGGCGCTTGCCTAGCAAGCAGGAGGCCTTGAGTTCAAACCCCAGTAAGTCCCGCCCAAAGAAAGATCTATAAGTGAATACAGAATTTTAAAATAGAACAAGGTAACATTGACATACAGTCAAGTTTCCCTTTTCTTCTCAGGAAATGTGAACTTTGAAGAAGAAAGTCGACAGTCAGAAGGGCGAGAGTAAGACGTAGCCCGGGAAGCCTGTGTGGGTAGGGCAGGTGGTTAGCTGCTAATCTTCCCTGCTTAGTCCTTAGGCTGTTCAAGTTGTAAATAAATGCCTCGTTGTCTTTCTTCTGCCGCAGGTTCTTGGAACTTGGTTCCCACTGGTTTGCATGGGGTTTTGTGTTTTCTCCTGGGAATAAGAGGAAAATCCTTCTGGTGCGGGAGAGGGTTCCATACTGGAACTTCTCTCTTGGGCTCAGCAAACACTACAAACAAGTGTTACTGCATGCCCCTCCTCATAAAACACCGCACCACAGATGTGCTGAGGGCTCAGGAAGGAGCCTCAGCCACCACCGAGGGGCTCCACTGTCCACCTTCTCTGGGTGGGCAGAGGGCAGAGCCAGGGCTGCTCGCTGGCTGGGGCTTTGGCTGGTGGACGCCCTCTTTGGGGTTCCTTAAGTGGCTGCAGGCTGACAACCAGGCCATGTATTTTGAGTGTTGGCTCAAGCCTGGCCTCTCTTCTCTCTTTCCAGAGCTGTTTCTAGCCCTCATTCCTCGGGGGGAAATGTAAAGCGGGGGGCCTCCCATCTTGCACAGGTGTGCCTCCTCCATCCTCCTCTTCCCCTGAGTTCCTCAGAGGACATGTGCCTGCATATCACCCCAGAATAGCCCCTTGAGATGGCCATGCTTTGCCTCTGGTGGTTATGTCCCCGGACATGGGGCCCCTATAAGAATAACACTTTCTAGGTACAATCTCCAAGCCTCTTTTACATAAACCATATCGCATTATGAAAATTAAATTGCATTAAAACAAACATTTAGAAGAAAATAAAATCCAATAAAATTACAAACTAAAAAGCTGAGAACAGCACAAAATCTAGAAAACTATCAGAATATTGTTATTGAGTCATTGCCCAATAGCTAGAACCCTCGAGAATACTTCTTTTCCTGCTTTTTGCCAGTGATCGCCTCTTACGACAATTTGTAATGTTTCTTAAGTGTGATTTAGTCATTATTGATAGTTGAGGGGCATAACACACTGGTTTTCACAGGTAGACACACTGGTGTCCACAAAACAGCTATGGGATTGTGCGTTTCAAACAGGTGTTCTGACAAACCTAATTGCGTGTAATTCTCATCCATCATTGGGTACGGTTGAGCAGGCATCACGAGAAATTCTCCATGGGTTTACTCACCTGGTGGTTGAAACTTCCCCACAGCCAGCCTTCCACTCTGTGCACTTCAAGCATTTTTTTTCCCCCTCCACTCCTACATCCTACAGTGCTGGATCTGCAGGTCAAGTCCACATGGAGAGTTGACCTCTGACTCTACAGCATGTCCCAAGGTCAGGTAAGCCTTTCCTACCCCAGAACACTTAGCAAAAAACTGAACTCCCGTGGAAATTAGCAAAACCACCGACCCGAAATGTTCCGCCAAGCCCAAAGCGCTCATTCTACTGCTTATTCAATTTTATCAGTGTTCCCTGACGCAGACTTGAACGGTGCTGTGACCATGTGATTCCACTCAACACGATGGGTGTGCGTCTGACTGAAAGTCAGGGGAAAGGGACAGAGACGTGATTAGGTTCAAAACACTTCCCTTCTGCACATAGAGAGACCCACGGGCATGGGATCGGTCGTCAGGGCCTTGGATGGGGCTGTGCAAGTGTGGGTTCGGAAGCTGGAGGCTGGGGGCTCCATGGACAATCCCCTTCTCCCTCACTCTTATTCAGCACTGTCCCTTGTATACCACTGGCTTTGAAGAGGTTGACTGACTGCCTAGCTAATGTCCATCTACTTTCTGGATTTGCCTGGGTTCGCGCTTGTCCTTTTGTCACCTGTATATTTCTCACAATCATATAAATTGTAGCTAAAGGCCTGATGGCTTCATCAGGGAAACTTTTAGCTAGAATTCACCATCTAGGGTATTGTACACTTCCTGCTTCATTACAGCAGAAGAAACACTCGTGTCATTATGCTTCATAGATAGTGTGTTTTATTTAATTAATTTACATTTACAAAATGAAGGCTTAGGGCATCGAGCAAGTCTATTGGTATTTTCCCAACAGCACAAACTCATCTTGTGTCTCTGTGTCACATTTTAGTAACTTTTTTATCACGTAAAAATTGTTCATCATTGAAAGGAGCTAGACACATACACTGGAGAAAGGACAGCCTCTTCAACAGATGGTGCTGGGAAAACTGGCTACCGACATGCAAAGATTGCAACGAGACCCCATCACTCACCCTGTAAAAAAGTCAACTACAAATGGATCAAAGATCTCAATGTAAGACCTGGAACTTTGACACTATTACAGGAAAAATAGGGAAAAATCTGGAAGATATAGACATGGGTGATTATTTTCTGAATAGGACCCCAATTGCCCAAGAAATAGGAGCAAGAACTGACAAGTGAGACTGCATCAAATTAAAAAGCTTCTGCACATCAAAAACAAAAACAAAAACAAAAAATCAGTTACCAGAATCAAGAGATAACCCACAAAATGGGAGAAAATCTTAACCAGCTATTTAACAGATGAGGGAGCAATAACCAGAATGTACAAAGAGCTGAAAAAAACCCCTAAACAGCAAAAACCCAAATAATCTTATTAATAAATGGGCAAACAAGTTGAACAGATGGTGTTCAGAAAAAGAAATACAAATGGCTAGTGAATACACTAAAATTCCATCCCATCCCAGGGCTGGTGGTGTGGTTCAAGTGGTAGAGCGCCTGCCTAGCAAGTGTGAGGCCCTGAGTTCAAGCCCCAGTATTGACCCCCAGTCACCCCAGTCAGACTGGTCATGATCAAGAAAACAAACAGCAAATGCTGGTGCAGATGGAGGCAAAAGGAGCCCTCCTACACTCTTGGGAATGCAAACAGATGCAACCACTGTGGAAATCAATATGGTGAGTCACCAAAAAACTAAAAATTGACCCACCTATGACCCACTCTTGGGCATATATCTGAAGGAGTGTAAATCAGTACCTGAGAAGGACGCCTGCACATGCACGTCTATTGTAGCTGTCTTCACATAGACAAGCTGTGGAAACAGCTGAGGTGCCCAACAACAGATAAACGGATAAAGAAGATATTCTAGGTAATTATGTACTCCAAGACTGCCATCTACTCAAGCCTCTTGGCTTGGAGGACCTGCAGACTCCGGTGAGGGAAATGGCTGTGGTTGCGGTGGGAATTCCAGAGAACTGGGATTGGCAACTCTCATGACCAAACTCTGCAGGTGAGGATGGGCAAAGAAAGTGGTTTCTTGAGATAGATGGCGTCTACCCTTGGTGAGGATGCTGGGAACGTGGCTGAAATGACATCGGAGGTTGTGAGTATCATGTAAACCTAGTTGCTAAAGCAAGCAGGAAGGTTTGAAAGGATTTACTCCATTTTTGTTTTCAGACAGGGTCTTAAATCCAGCCCACTGCAATCATGTTTAAGATGTGATTTTTCTAGCCGTAAGCCATTATGCATTTATTATTATTAAACTACAGGTTTATTTAGTTCCCGTGAAATTCAGTCTCTTCTAGAAAGACAGAAGAAGTATTTAATTCTTTCCATTGAACCATCAATGTCACAAGTGAGGTATTAGTTAACAGATGCACAGATGTAACAAACCAGTTTACTTGCCCTCCTCTCTCTCTCTCTCTCTCTCTCCCCCTCTGTTTTAGACAGTCTTGCTATATAGCCCAGGCTGGCCTTGAACTCTCAATTCTCCTACCTCAGCTTCCTGAGTGCTGGGATTACAGGTGGGCACCACTCTGCCTGACTCTGGGTTTCTCTTTTTTGAGTAGTCATCATGGCCTCAGATTTTCATTGGCTCAAGGCGTTTAGTCTATTACAAACACTATTCTCTGTCACGCTCATTAGACACAGCTTTGGCTTCTTTACACTGACTCCTTGTCTTTTTTTTTTTTTTTTTTTGAGACAGAGTCATGCTATGTAGCCCAAGCTGGCCTCGAATTCACAATCCTCTAGGTTGTGGTCTGAGGCAGGTGTTGCCAAGGGATGTGGAGAAGGAAAGAGCATCATCAAAGAGTAGGAGACAGGAAGGGGTGTGCCAGAGAGGGTAGAAAAAGCAAGGCAGGAAGGGCAAATGGAGCTGCTGACTAACAATATCTGAAGTCATGGACTTCACATCACCAAAACCACTTCTGTTTTGCTTTTTGGCAGCACTGGGATTTTGAACTCAGGGCCTCATGCTTGCTCAGCAGGTGCACTTACCAATGAGCCCTTCTACTAGCCCTTTTATTGTGATTTTTTTTTTTCGAGATAGGGTCTGTGAACTATTTGCCCAGGGCTGGCTTCAAATTTCAGTCCTCCTGATCTCTGCCTCCTGAGTAGCTGAGATTACAGGTGTGAGCCACTGGCACCCAGCTACCACTTCTGTGTTTCAACCTAAAACTAGCCTCCAGCATTGGAATTTTGGAAGCCATTAGAATATTACAGATCCCACGCCCTACATGATCTGGTCAGCATCCTTCTCTAGTGACATGTGTGAGGCAATGGTCTGTGGGGTGGGGAGGGGACCATGCGACACCCTTGTCCCCACTCCCTAACCACTGCTGCCACTGTGCCTTCACAGGGGCCAAGCACTGGGCTGCACAGCCTGGAGCCAAACCTTCCTGTCTCCCCCTTGTTATACTGGCCCTTGCACCTGCCCAGCGTCTGCTGGATGCTTGACCCCTGCCCCGGCCCCACCCCTTTCACACTGTCATCCGCCTCTGATTGCCTCCTAGCTCCTCTGCGTCTCATTTGCTGATGTTCTTTGGCTTTTCTTTATCCCATTTGCTGCCACTGACAATTCATCCATTCAACAAATAATTCCTGAAGGCCGGGTTCCATGCTTGGGGCTGGGTTTGCAGAGGGAAGCCCCCCATTGTAGTTGGTGGTGAAGTTATGTCAGGCACTTGCCGATGAGCTGTGTCCTTACTTACCGCCCATTCCTGTTTGGCGCTAGCCTCTTTCTGTCCCTGAATGCCAGAATTCTACCTGTAAGCTACATCCCCAGCCTCTCA